GAAATAAGAACATGTTAGAAATAATTGCAGCTGCAAGGTTTAATCAGTTAGGTGACCAAACTGATTAAAAATGTTTTGCTCAACCATAAAGATGTCCCTAACTAATAAGGCAGGAAGAGAAGGGATGATATCTCTCGTAAGACCACGCCTGCTGTATTACTTGCCACGGGCAGAATCTTCCCCACTATGATGCTATGTGTTGCATTTTAAGTTGCAAGAGATTTCGACTAAACATCAGGAAATATTTCTGTTCTGACAGTGGAGTGGTCTCCCTCGGTCATCTGTAATAGATGATTTAGCTGAGATTCCTGCATTGCAGGGGGTTGGACTAGATGACCCTCAGAGTCCCTTCCAACTCTACGATTCTATGATTTCTATTTAAGTTATAGTAATTTTTTTTAAGTTTGTGTCTAATTTAGCATATGTAAATATTATGCAAATATGTGCCCTCTTTTCTTTTGTTGATGTGGGAAGCCCCTGAGTTTGGTCTTCAGAGGCAATCAAACAGGAACAGGAAGTACAAGAAATATAAGAAATGAAGATGCCAAAGCTGTTTTGTCTCTCTGCAGTTAGATCACAGTATGTATGTATAAAATTTATATTTAACTTTCAGTGATCATTTTCAAAAGATATATCACACTTTTCCTATGGTGAAAGCATCCAAACGTATTTCCCTAAGTAAGCTCAGGCAACGCTCAGTCATAAAGTAGAAATCTTAGGTTTAGTCTGTGGTTTCTCCAATGAAAGAAAAATCTCTGGTGCGAAAGATCTCTGCCTAAGGCCGTCAAAAGCTGCTACGAATCAGTTCATGAGACTGGACTAGACATCCCCATGGTCTGACCTGAACCATTATAGAAGTATTCTTTGCAAGGGCTGATTAGATGGGCAGCTGTCACAATTTCAATGTTGTATTTTAATCTTGTTTTAAGTTGTATTTTAATCAATTGTTTTGTATCTGGTGTTAACCGCCCTGAGCCCAATCTTGGCTGGGGAGGGCAGGGTATAAATAAATTTATTATTATCATCATCATCATCATCATCATATTAGCACAGATACATCTAAGTTCGTTTTCACAAACTGACAACAGGCCTGGTCCTTGCGTATGTTTAGGACCCTCGTTTCAATGAGAGACATTTAAGCACATGTTTAACTCCCACCGAAATCAATGGGATTTAGAAGTGCTTAACTTTTGCTCAGATATGACCTTTGCTTTTCAAAAACCAGCCTCTCTTCTGTAACCAAGTACAAATCCTAATCCTGCTTATATTCAACAAGATTACTAGGAAGAGGAAACGAGCTCCATCACGGTTCCTTTATATTTTTATCCCCAAGTCAACCATAACACAGAGTGCGCGCTTCAGTAGTCAAGGCGCGCTGAGAGGAAGTGCCACTGAATGGCTTGTGCCAAAACAAACAGGCAAAGTCTGGAATTTGCAAAACCAAAAATAGATGCAGCTCAGTTAAACCTTCACAGCTCATCTATTTCTCACTGGCAGAGCACAGAAAAACAAAACCTTAGCAGACTGAAGCAGAAGTCTTCTTTGCAAGGGCTGATTAGATGGGCAGCTGTCACAATTTTATAAGCTGGCATTTTGCTGAAGGTGCAATTGAGAAAAAAGCCGGATGCTGTCTTGGCACAGAAACTGAGACAAATGAGGGGGAGAGGGAAGGGATCATGGAGACAAAAGGGGGGAGGCAAAGCAGACCACAACTTCACTACCCCCCCAACTGAGACAAAAGGCATGGCCCACAGAAGGGACTCTCATAAGTGAAAGACAAGAGAAGTGAAATAGGTAGGCTGGATTTTGCAAAGAAGCATATCTCTCAAACTAAAGCTAGATCAGTTAAGGTTATGCAATCACAGAATTTTTTTTAGTCACCACAAAGCAGTACAAATCTCTGAAAAGAGACAAAAACTGAGAGGAGTTGAAGCCATTCAATTAAACAATGTCACAGTCAGCAAAAAAAAAGCCATTTATTTTCATGTGCGTTAAAACTCCTTGAAATTGTCTCTGTAGAGCGCACATTTTTTGCAAGGCTCCCAAGAACATTTCTATTACGGCCAATTTTAACAGAACAAAAATATGGGCCGCGTTCAGAGATCTTAGCAGGACTTTTAAAATATGCACCAAAGAAACCTTCCCTTTCAAGATAAAGACATGCCCAATGTATTTGAAATTAACTCTGCTCAGCAGATGGTAAACATGAAGATGCTTAGGCCACTTATTTACTAGAGTTCCTTCAACAGGTTTCCCACATTGGTTGTAATGTGTAGCACTATCCTGGGGGACTATTGTCACAAATAGGGGCAACTGTCCTATTTAGTACCACTGCAATATTTTTAATGGATTTTTAAAAAATAAATAAATACAAATTATCTTGAGGCACTGGGTTGAAGCTAGACTAAAGCTAGCTCTTATACACACTTACCTGAAAGTCTTATTATATTGGATTTACGTCTGAGTAGGCCCACATAGGACTAAACTGTAAGTCAGTTGCACTTAAGATCCATTAAAATCCACAGAACTCAAGTCTTTAGGGACCTAAATTGAATTAACTTAATTTGGCTTCAGTTCCTTGCTTTTGGGGGAATGTTAGCATTAATATAACCTCTAACACAGTGTTTTTCAACCTTGGGTACCCAGACATTGCTGGACTACAACTCCCATAATTCCCAAGTATTGGCTAAGCTCAATGAGTGGGCCGTTTTACTCAGCTAGAGCTCCCCCACCCCAAAAAAATACATATATCCAAAAACACACACATTGAGATACTATTCTAAACAGTAATAATATAAACAACAATAATATAAAGATCATGGCATTAATGTAATCTAGGAAAGCACAACAAACAGTGGAAACCAGATATTACTTGTGTAGGCTTAATTGCTCCATAATATGCTCTCTTGAGAACACTAGTTAATGGAAGAGAAGAAAAAGAAAAAGAATTGCACAGGTTTCTAGATCAAATCTGTAATTAGCAAAGGTAATACTTTTGTACCCGCAAAATGCCCTGAAGCTACTCTCTAGGTTTTCTATTAACATCTCTGATTGCTTCTAATTCTTCTTGAAGTATTCTGAAAGCAACTCTGTAGATAACATCACAAAACCCTTTTTTTTATTAAGCCACAAAGCCCACTACACAGATTAAAAATCACAAAAAAACCCTCATAAAATGACACAATCAAAAGATTAATCATAGAATTTCTACATAGAGAAGGCAGGCATCACTGTGAATATGAAACGCCAGCAGCTCTAAACAGACCTCCAAATAAAACAAGGCATGACATGGGAGACGTATGAACTGCCCTCTCTTTTTTTAATATATTTACTGAAATATAATGGGGGGAGGCTATAAAGTTCATTAGAGCATCAGTAGAAGAGGAGGGCGTAACCCTTTTCCTGTGGGCTGTTTTCCCAATCATATTAACCCCACAGCTGCTCTGCCCAAAAACCTACAATTTAAACAGTTAAACAGCCCCTCTTTCCCTACAGCTATACTAAAATTGCAACTGCATTTCAGATTATTATTATTATTATTATCAAGAAGTGTGAGATCATTTATAGGTTTTCTACCTCACACCTAAATTTGACCCTCAGACCACAGAATTCATGTTACTCCACTGAGAGCAGGATTAATGGTTAGCGAGTCATTTCCCATCTTTCTGGCAGGAGTCCATAAAGCCCCTTCAATATTGTCATCAGTGTCACTCAAAATAATTAACTCCACCAATATTTCATTTATTTTTTTCTGCATTTGTGATTAACTCCTACACCTGATTTGGTACTTTCACTGGTCTGTAAACACTAGCAAACTGTTTCAAAATAGAGGTCTGTTATTATTTAATTAAGTCCTTCTGTTTATTGGTGTTTTCTTTCACCCCCAGGTCCATTCAGATACTTTAAACAGTCATTGACAAAGCCTATATGCAATAAAAATCTTTCTGAATTTTCCTAAGGGGTTCTGCTTTGCCTTAAACAGATTCAGAGTCAAATCAATTTTAAGTAAAACATTTGATGCTAATCAGATGGAAATAACTTATGTAACTATGAATACTGTATAACTTAAGCTAAAGATAGCACTAAACTCCTCCTCAAGTTTTTTCTTCGTTAACAGATAAATAGAGGTTCCCCAGCCCCCTTCTGATCTACTGGAGTTTTCTATGGAAGGGTCTACTGTATGCAGTCATACACTCCGCACTCAGTCATACTAAAGGTAAAAAAAGGTAAAGGACCCCTGGACGGTTAAGTCCAGTCAAAGGCCAAGGGAGCCGGCGTTTGTCCACATACAGTTTTCCGGGTCATGTGGCCAGCATGACTATGCCACTTCAGAGCACAGAACACCGTGACAGAAACCAGTGCGCACGGAAACACCGTTTACCGTATTTTTTGCTCTATAAGACTCACTTTTTCCCTCCTAAAAAGTAAGGGGAAATGCGTGTGCTTCTTATGGAGCGAATGCAGGCTGCGCAGCTATCCCAGAAGCCAGAACAGCAAGAGGGATCGCTGCTTTCGCTGCGCAGTGATCCCTCTTGCTGTTCTGGCTTCTGGGATTCAGAATATTTTTTTTCTTGTTTTCCTCCTCCACAAACTAGGTGCGTCTTATGGTCTGATGCGTCTTATAGAGCGAAAAATACGGTAATTGAATTAAGACATTTTAAAACAGTGAAGAAACTGGTGTGAATTACAGGCCACCAGTTATCTTCCCACCAGTTATCTACTTTACACAACCACACTAACAACATAGAAACCCACAAAGAAATGCTCACTAGAACAGTGTAATTCAGTTCAATGGGGCCTTGTAGGAATGAAAAGGAATGCAGAATCGCATCCCACAGTACTAGTTTCTCCCTTTAAAAATCCCAACACTGGGATACTGTACAGCCAAAATGTGAATGTACAGCCAGGATAAAGAATTAACTTTGTCCCAAGAACGGTCTGGAGGTATATCATAGAATCACAGAATTGTAGCGTTGGAAGGGACCAATGCAGGAATCCTCTGCCCAACATGGGGCTCACACCCACAAACCTGAGATTAAGGGTTGTGGGTCTCATGTAAGTCTCATGCTCTACCAACTGAGCTATGTTGGACTATATACAGTGGTACCTCTGGTTACATACGCTTCAGGTTACATACGCTTCAGGTTACAGACTCCGCTAACCCAGAAATAGTGCTTCAGGTTAAGAACTTTGCTTCAGGATGAGAACAGAAATCGCGCGGCAGCAGGAGGCCCGATTAGCTAAAGTGGTGCTTCAGGTTAAGAACAGTTTCAGGTTAAGTACGGACCTCTGGAACGAATTAAGTACTTAACCTGAGGTACCACTGTACAATGCAGTTATGGCACTGAAGCTTAGCTTGGACATTTCCATTTCCTGAATGGGAGACAGATGCACACGGGATTCTCAGTCTCCTTACGTGAACTGTGCAATACAGTAACATCTCAGACAGAGAAACACAGAGAGAAACACTTCCTCCACATCAGCTCTCCCTTAAATGCTGCATAGTTTTAATAATTATTCATATATTAAGAATAAAACAACTGCAGCATGCTTGATCAATATTCCAATCTAGTAAGAATCCAGATTTAATTACAAATGGCACAAATGCTTTTGCACAGCTAATAGCCTGATCTGCTCTTGGTTGTGCAGCTGCTGCGTACTACCCAACACACATCGGGAGTCTTATTTTAAATCCTGACACATGCATACCAGTAAAATAATCCAGACTCGAGACTTCCTCTGTACTTCCTGAAGCGTATATCAGCACCTTCACAAGAGTGATGCAATGCAGCAAATAGAAATTAGGATCCAAAGGCTCTGAATCTAGAGGTGCAGATCAGCTTTAGCATACAGTGCTTTAAACTGAATACCAGCTATGCCAAATTTATATCAAGCTTTATTATTTGACATCTGAAACTTCCAAATGGTATTAATCCAAAACTAGAGCAGAGCTGAAGTTTCTTGGATGAGAGTTATCTGAAAACATTTCAGATTTCTCCCTCTCACACACAGCACATGATTGGGGGGGGTAAGGTTGGGTGATCTTTTCTGAACATTCTCCATCATATTTTTGTTGGCCACAAATGCAATGCCTGGACAATGGTATGTCTGGAGCACTGGGGTACAAAATCTGTATTGCCCACGCTGCCCACAAAGTTGCTGCTGCTACCACTTGCAATGGCAGTAACAAGGAGGGGAGGATAAATTGGAAAGGAAAGAAAGACTCCACATTTTTTCAGGAAAGGACTTTGATGTACTTCTCCAATTGTGTTTTTCAATAAAATAAACAAATCAGATTTCTGCGTTTAAAAAAGAGGCATTTATGCGTATCCTTGAAACCCATGAGAGACTGGAATGCAGGGGGGCGACTGAATAACTGAATGCACTGTGAAAGCAAATATCTCTTTTCATTGGTGGGAGGGAGAAAGCTTGACTTTCTGGACTATGACAGCACCAGACGTACACTCCTGCCTGCCTCTCCCTGGCTACTACCCACTTCCCAACTCACAGGCTCAAGTCAAATCTGCACATCTCTCTCTCTCTCTCTCCCTCCAAAGTGACACTGTCTTGAGCTTTGGGCTGGATTTGTAATACCAAACAGCTTGGCTCCAGGAAAAGCATAAGCATCAGCAACCAAAGCTTTGCTTTATATCAAGGTGCATTCACATCAACACGGTTGGTGGTGACTGTCATGCGACAGGTTTATCACATGCAAGGATCCATCTCATTTGATGGGCACAGCATCCACATGATAATATTTTATTCATTAAAATATAACAGCCATCTCATGTGGATATTGTGATTTTACATTAGAGACACGCTTCTGCAAATCTATCTATATTTAGAGAAGGCTTGGACAACTTTTTCCCCATATGTGGAAGTAGTGTTGCAATGGCAGAGTATGAGAACCCCTAGAGCAGAGCTTTCCAAACTTTGTGTCGCGACACGTTAGTGTGTCGGCTGCAGGGTGCAGGTGTGTCGCGCAAACATTCCCCATGCTCCTCTTGGGGCTGGAAAGGGGTTACTTTAACCTCCAGTTTGCTAGTAAAACTGAATTACTGTGTCACAAAATGATGCATGTCTTAAAAGTGTGTCACCAACATGAAAAGTTTGGAAAGCTTTGCTCTAGAATACTTATGATATGTTCTACTTTATCAAGACAAATCATAAGCTTTGGCTGGTGCAAGATGCAGGTAGTCAGCTAATGAAAATATTAACTACAGGAAATGAATCGCATCTGTGCTTCTCAGGTTTGGGACCTGGTTACCATAGAAATTGAGTGGCAGATGGCAAACAGACCATGCACCATCACAGGAATTAAAAGTGGTCACGTTAGGCCAAGGGACAATGATTTTTATCGTGTATTTTGAGTTTCTATCTTGTATTTTTGTGTGTGTGTGAACTGCCTTAAGATCTTTGGATGAAGGGTTGCGTACAAATTTTGTAAATAAATAAATGTCACAATAATTTTAGTTCTAAAAAAAGCTATTGAGATAGGCTTATATAGGTGGGCAGAAGTCAGATCCCTTTTACTTACTGTATGTATTGATTATCATACATATGTACTGATTGTCATACATGTCTGATTTATATGTACACACATAAATGTCACTGGAAATTACAAAATGATTGTCAGAAGAAGACCATGATTACAGTACATCTGCTTTAATAATAATAATAATAATAATAATTTATTATTTATTATTTATAGCCCGCCCATCTGGCTGGGTTTCCCCAGCCACTCTGGGCGGCTTCCAACAGTGGTCTGTTAAACAAGCTTTGACTGTTTCTGAATCTTTACTCAACTGTAATATGCCCCACTGTGTTATTTGCCAATGCATCCATGCTTCAAGGCCTTCCATGAAAATCTAGATACATCCTGTACATTTCTTAAGTATGGGTACTAGTAGATCAGTAACCTTCGAGTCTTCTACTTTCCTGCGTCATTTGAGAAAATAAGCATCTGAATGGACCAGAGGCTGTAAAACCTCCCTTGTTTCTTCCTTCTTAATTGAAATCGAAGTCATCTGGTGGACTGTTAACTTCTAACCGTTCCTGAGACCAAGCTTGTTCAGTGATGTAACAGCTTAAACATGGAAAGAAAGAAATAGATGTCACCTAGATGTACCTAGATGTGCCTTCTGATTTCTTGTGGAAATATGCTGGCTCAATTCTTTTTAAGCTTGCAGTTTTAAAAACCAACTTCACTTTCCTTTGCTGTTCTTACTATTGCTTCCCTTGTTGCCTTTCTATTTTAAAAGAGTTTTACTACTTTGACCTTCAACTTGGTTGTTGTTTTTTTTTTATTGCTTACCTACTGCATGGTTCAATGTATAAATTGTTCTTGGATAGATACATTAGAAAACCTGCTATCATACTCTTTTCCTGGATGCTGCAGGAGTCAGAGAGAGAACGGTTGTGTCAAATGGTTACTGGACTGGAGGCTATTGAAACTTTTATTTTGACAACACAGCAGAGTCGTCAAAAAGAACCAGGAAACAGACCCCAGACTCTTATGGGCTCTTGCGCAATAATTTTAAGAACATGGACTGATGTAACACAGAATTGCACATTACAGTGCAGCTGTATATTTTTCTACTAAAAACCAAGCCTCATTGTGTTACCACAAGTGTGTATGTAGGATTACAGCTCAAGTCCGCAGACAATCTGTGATTTTCAATGTCCATTAATGTCAATGGTCTAGTCTCAGTAGGACTTCGCTCGATATCAGCAGGTAACATTTGTGCCAAAACAAAATGATAGGTATTGACACAGATGGTGTAGTTGTAGTGCATGAGCTAAAGAAACCTCAGCCATTAAAGAGAGCTTTTAATATAGCATAATGTACTCAAATTAACCTTAAGACTTATATAATTAAGGATTCCCATTTGAATAACTACCTTCAAGTCAAATTTATTTCTCTCAGTTGTACAGAATACTTATACCAAAGTGGATACTATACAAACAACATAAAGAGAAAGAATGCTTACATTTTAGTAAACATCACTGGTGTTTACACAGCATCTCTGTTCCATCAATTCAATTTTAAGTAACCCCTTACATGCCATGTGAGAAATGCAGAACACAAGATGCCTGCAAAATATCACATTTTATGGAAGGAAAGATCAGCTAAGAAGTGAAAGTCAACTCGACCATCAATAATGAACTGAGCTATGAACACGCAACATGAGGAGCAGGCACCCAGGTACCAACTGCATTGCAAGGCTTATGAACAGGGATATCACAACTTTGGAACAAGTTGCTCCATCCCTAGCTCTGTTCTAGCAGAGGGGTGGTCAGAAGCTCAACAAACTACCATGGCTTCCCTTTAGGAATCTGTTACTCAGGAATTCATTACACTTGTTCAAAAGTTTTCATAACACCATAGCACCCTCTTATTCCAAGTAAATGAGTCTGGAGTTCAGCTGCTGAATTCCAGGGGACATCTGGTCAGCAGCAAATGCACAGAATTAAATTCTGCTGAATTCAGTAGGTTGCTGCACAATACAAATTTAGACCTCTAGTGCAGTCTTCCTCAATCCAGTGCCCACCTACCTCCATCCATCCCAACCAGTGTAGTCAATGGTCTGCGGTTATGGGGAGATGCAGTCAACAACTTCTGGAAGAAACTAGTTTTGAAAAGGTTGCTCTAGTGCAAGGATGTCCTGAATTGACCCCACTTACTGTCAAGCATGTATTCCAGATCTGGGAATTAACAAATCTAAGACAACTGCCAATGAGCCATGAAGAATTTTAACGGAGTATTACAATGACAAGTCAGCATTATTAAACAGAAGATGAAATCTTAAGCACACTTACTAAGTCCTACTGTACTCAAACATCTCAGACAGTCCATTGACTTCCTATATATCTTCAGAATACTGCCTAGGACAAACAAGGCAACTATCTTAATAAGATAAAATACAAATAAAATAAAATACATTAACACTGTCTTGGAAATGGACAACACAGCAGAACACGGGTCCTGATAAATGTCCAGGTTCAAGATCAGTGGAGGGAGTGAAGCAGCAACGATACCAAGACTTGTCAAGTGGCCAAGGCTGAGTGGTGACAGCAGCAGGAGAAAAGAAGTTGCAAAGGCAGCACAGTTGAGACAAACAGGAATGCTGAGGGGAAAGCAGATTCCAGTAGTGATGGGGGAAGAGAAAAGAGAAAACCACACAATGAAGTCATGTAAAATTGTTCAGAGAGAAGTTTGATTACAGTGCAATCCTATCTGTTTCTACGCAGAGACTTACTTCTAGGTAAGCACATAGGGGGTTGCAACCCAAATGTTTGTCCCTGGCATGTGTAGCAAACAGCATTTAAGACAGCAATTCTCTGCATATGTATCTGACCGTATCTCCCATTGAACACAGCCCGACTTATTTCTGAGAAAATATGCTTAGGATTGCACTGCACACGTAGCAAATTCTAACATGATCAAACTAAGCCACCACAGATTTAGGCAATACACCATGATGTTACATTTCAAGATAAAACAAATAATATTCAGCTCTAAATTAGATTTGTCGTCCACCAGAACCTGACCATTCAATATAAGTGAACTCAGCAAAGCCAATATTCCTTAGCACAGGTAAAAATTAAAAGGTAATGAAGCACCTCAAAATTTAGAAAACAGAAGAAAGAATCTTAAGTTCCAATTCATGATGCAAATTTATTTCCAGATTGAATATGTCTATTATGCAGCTACATTACTGGCTATGGCGCTAAAGTGAAAACAATCTGCTTTTTAATTAGCAAGTTCCCATCGTTCCACAGGCTTAAATTAAAGCTCTAAAGTGTATCCCATCAGGCACATCAATGTGTATTAGATTTCAAACATGCCTTTTCATTACATTATTTTAAATATCTCATTAAACAACAATAAGCTGATAAAACATTCTGAAGCCACATGCATGATTCAAGGCCTAGAAGAAACCAACCCACTTACATGGCTCAATTAACTAATAATGAAGTCTAGCAGATAATTTTTACCATTTAAAAATATGCCATAATTTATTTTTATATGCCATTATTTTTACCATTTTTAAATACGGTAAATATAATTTTTATCATTTTTTAAAGACGGGATTTAAATATGGGAGGAGGGCAGAGAGAAGAAAAGCCATGGTTCATCCGCAGCGGTACAACCGAATGCCTTCATCTGCCCCAGACGCCACAAAACATGTCTCTCAATTGACAAAGACTCCCCCCCCCCTTTCCAAATGTTACACTAGTGGTCAGGCCTAAAAAGTGGAGTGGGGAAAGGCATTATAAATCAATGCAAAAAAAGCAACACTCACTGAAATATAACTTTGTTTCAAGTTTTTTTTTTGTTATTACTAAAAATGTTACAATCCTGCATGTTTCTCTTTCAACTGATGCCTTTGCATTAATTGTCTGAACACTGAAGAAGTCCAATGCTTGTTTACTCAACATTCTGGTAGAATATTGACTGAACATATGCCAGAGACCTTTTCCTTTCTCTTTCCTGATGAATGAAATCTGAAAACAACCTTGACTACAGTTCTAGATCTGTGATCTTTTAAATAAAGCGGGGGACACCTACAACATCTTCTAGAAGTCACTTCCTTCCACAGCTGCCTTGCTGTTTAAATCTCACTCTACATAGCCACAATCCTCTGGCATGTCAAAGGGGTTCCAAGAACCACAGTAGGGCAATTCCTTTATTGGGACCAACCAAAATGTTTCGCTAGTCTTAACAAAAGTGTTGTCCGACTGTGGATTTGGGGATTTTCACTTTATGGATCAACACAGCTGCCTTTGCATTTTCTGTACCTTGGAGAAAGGAATTAAAAGTGCCTGGAAAACCAACAAACTACCAGGACTTTAGCTACGCAACAATGGCATTCTGCTTCCCCTTGTTTGAAAATTAGCCATCTTTCGTTCCTTCATAGAACAGAGGCACTGCTTCAACCAGGTACTTAAAGGTGCAGGCTTATGGCACAAATTTGCATATGCTAATTTTTTACGTCTAGAATGGTGTATAGATGATACTGCACTTGGCCCTGCAAAGTTTTATATGCAAAGTTTGATTAAAAAGGGAAGGAAAGGAATATGGATATAACATTTACAGTATGTTATGGTTTAAGAGAAAATTACATGAAAATGTTCTGTAGATGGTACCTAACACCTAGCAGACTGGCAAAAATGTATAAATCAAAATTTAATAAGTGCTGGAAATGTAAAGAAAAAGAAGGTACCTTTTTCCTATGTGGTGGTCTTGTGGTAAGGTTAAAGCTTACTGGGAAATAATATATAATGAATTGAAAAAGATGTTTAAGATAACGTTTGTAAAAAAAACCCAAAAGCTTTTCTCTTGGGAATTATGGGATCAGAACTACCAAAGCAGCACAGAAATTTATTTATGTATGCAACTACAGCTGCAATGATGTTATTTGCCCAAATATGGAAAGAAGTCCCGACAAGAGAAGAATGGCTACAAAAATTAATGGAGTATGCAGAAATGGCAAAACTTACCAGAAAATTCAAGACAATAAACTCTTTAGAAAGGAATGGAAGTGTTTTACTGATTATTGTAAAAACCTGCAGTTTCAAAAATGTATATGAAATAGATATGACAATAGAAGAACTGAAGAATATGTTAATATAATTTGGAGTATGCAGGAAATGATGAAAATAAATGCAAAGAACCGCAGAAAGAGGAGGAAGGGAGCTGAAGTTTGAAATGTCAGAATGTTTGTTGAATAATTGTAGTAATGTATAAAAAAAATATAAAAAGGGGAGGGGAAGGAGCCAGTATATGGGGGCTCCAGCAATGAAGGTCGCCTGCCTCCACCACCTCATCTGTTCATCCAAACCCATGTCCTTAGAAGCAGGCTTCCTACAGCCTTGCATCGGATATGCATCAGATCCTCTGACAGCTCATCGCATTGCAACCACGCGTCTCCCTCGGGGTGTCCCTAAGGATGCGGCATCACAGTCCCCGGAGGAAAGGAGGAGACCCCACCGAAGCATCCGAGAGAAGAGCAATGCTCATAGCGCATAACGGAGACAATGTGCATGCCCACGGCGAGTGCAGCACTCGGCTTCCTTAGGCCCTGGGAGGAGAGACGCAGGCACCGCAGCCTGGCAAAAGGTTGGGGGAAGGACGGGGCCGGGGATGCCAGCAAGGGACACGCAGCAAGGGCCAAACCAGGGCGTGGAGCAGCTCCATGCACAAAGACGACCCCAGGCAGCCCCCCACCTCCGACCCCCTTCCCTTGCATTTATTTTTTTGCATTTCCCTTCCTGCCCAGCTCGCCCCCGATTCCCCTCCCTCGACTTCTCCTCTGCCGCCGATCCCACCATCCGCAGGCACCGCCGCCCAGAAATATCCCGAGTCCAATGCGGATCCCGCATTCGGAGTCCAATGCGGATTGGGGGGGTGCCCTTCCCCACCCCCGCGCAGGCACACACCGGAGTTTGCTCCTTGCAACTCGAGATCGGCTGCAGAAGCAGCAGCAACGCACGGAAGGCATTTCGTGCCCGCAACTTCTCCTGGAGCCCGGGGCGAGCCGGGGGTCCGTGCCCAACGCCGCCCCCCGAGCCGCCTCTTGCCGGAGCAGGACCCTGCCGCCTTCCCGATCCAGCCGCGCTGCTGCAGATGTGGCAGCTGGCAGGGGCAAGATGCGCCGCCTCCCTGTGTCTCCCCGCCGCCTTCGGAGGGCGAAGCGCCGCGCAGAAAGGGGCGAGGAGTCGCCCGCCCAGACTTACCCGCTCGGCCGCCGCCGCCGCCACCGCTGCTCCTCCTCCGGCCGGTCCCCGCCGCTCTTCGGAGCCCAGCTGCGGGATGCAGCCTGCCTGCCTGCCCGCCCGCCCGCCTGCCTTCCGGAAACGCTTTCCCAGCCTGCTGCGCTTTCCCCAGGAAACAATCCCGGCCTCTGGCGGCGGCCGCTGCTGCCTCTTCTGCTGCTGCTGCTGTGGCGGCGGCGGCTCCTCCTCCTTCAAGGCCGCCTTCAGGGAGAGGGCGACGTCCTCTGGCCGAGGCCGGGCCTTGCAAGGGGGCGGCGACGCCTCCCCTCCATTCCCGCCTTGGCGCTTCCAGGGAAGCGGGCGAGGCCTGGAGGCCGGGAACCGCCTCAGGTGGTCGTGGCGGCCGAGCGGGGCCCTCGCGCCCTAACACGGCGCTGAGGAGAAGCGAGGGATGGAGGAGGGGTCGCCTGCCGCCCCTTCCTCCGAAGATCCCAAGGCGGTTCACAACATAAACATATGAAATAAAACTTTATTTTCTTTAATATATAATTGGTGTTAAATTGTCCGTTTTACAATTTAGAATATTCATTTAAACAATCTTAAAATACCAGTGACTTCCCTTCTCTTTCCACGGTCCATTTTTTCAGAACATAAATCCCTGCATATTTTAAATATTTAAAGCTTTCAGTATTCCATTATTGCACCCATCAAAACTTACACTGTTGAATTTATCTTAATGTTGCCCACGTTTTCAAGTGTACACAATCTCCCCCACCCCCATATATTCAATAAACATTTTTCAGTCTTCTCTATACCTATGTTCTTGTTTTCTTATCCAATGTTAAGTCTGCAAGCTGTGCATTGAAGCAGTGCTTCAGTTTAAGCTGCCATTCTTCTTTGGTTGTGACGTCGCTCGTTTTCCAGTTTGGGGCCAACAAAACACAGGCGCCGTAGCGGCATACATAAATTACCCTTTTTAACACCTGGGAATTTCCATCTGAATTATCCCCAACAAAAAGGACGGGCTATTTTTTTTTTGAAAAGTGCTTTTAAACTCCCCCCCTCCAAATTCATTATGGATTATTTTCCAATACTCTTTTACAGGTCCCCACCACATGAAAGAACATTCCTCAGCCTCATTGCATCGCCAACACTTATCTGATTCAGTCTTATACATCTTAGCAAGCCTACTCGGAGTTAAAGACCATCTATAAATCATTTTCAAGTAGTTCTCCTGCAAAGAATAGCATGCTGTAAACTTCAGATCTGAAATAAAGTTGTTGTTTTTTTAAAAAGAAAGACACAGAATAGCGGGGCCTTGTGGGAATTGCAGGTGTCAGGATTTAAGGTCTCAAGAAATTGCCAGTGCAGGATTCAACCCTGTGGAAGCCCCTAAGCAGTCAACATTGAGAGGGAGGGTGGGCCCTGGCAAATTACCTCCTAATACTTTTATTTTATTTTGGATGGCTTTATCCAGCCTTGGAACAGTAAAGGGAAGGTGCTGGAAAGCAGCGCCGGGCCGCCATGATGGAATCTACACACACATAAAAAACGCCGTGGAAATGCTTTATTTTTAAACGTTTTGAAAAATGCGTTGAATTTTGCCTAGCTTGCTGTCACCGTCTGGTGACACATTTGCGTATTGCACTTTACAACACATTTAAAACGTTTTATTCGCAGCTGGGTAGCCGAGTCCCAGATCTGCCATCTCCTTGGCAGCCCCTCTGCCAAATGCTGCTTCTATGGGGCCTTTTGGCGAATAGCTGGTCTGCCCCTTTGTTTGTCCCCTTTGCAGATCTTTGTTCCCTCCTCGTTCCCAATGTAGATCTTCACCTATCCCTTTTTCCGTCCTGGGAGGACGCCATTTTATGGTTCGCCTCAGGTGCCAAAATGGCCTGGGCACCTGCTAGAAAGACAGTGTCCTTTCTACAATCCTTTAGAGCTATGAACCAAATGTAAAAATCCAAAGGCTGAATTTTTTTTTTATTGTTAAAGTCGTCTGCCCGTAACACGAAGGAAAATATAATACAAAGCAGTTTGTTCTTTACATTAAAACGGGAGTCTTTAAGGGTCTTGGCTAAAACAGTAAAAAAATTCTCTTATAGATTTCTCCTTGGGATAGGTCTTCAGCTTTTCTTTATGGACACTCAATTGTTTCTGTTTATTGTTATTTGCATGTTATAAGTTATATAGTATCACGTAACTAGGTTTGGACATTCTGGGAGGGAAACCAATTTTACGTGTGTGTGTGTGTTTAAAAGGTCTATCCTGTTACCTGTGGTACTTTTCTTAACCAACAGTCATGTAACCCAGAATACACATTGGTTGATATTATTTTAAATTTATTAATAAGGCAACCAAAGGCAGGTTTCACCAAACAGAAAACTATAAACATGATATTACAGAGTACAGCTTCTGTTTATTTTCTTCTATAGCTCTCCCATATGCCTTATTTCCATTGCTGTTCAACTAACAACTTCTCCTCTTCATGACAGAAACTTAAAGCATCTTCATGTGAACCACTATGCCATCCACTTTGTAGCTCTTCTACTGCTTCTTCATCATCATCATCATCATTATATAATTATTTATTGAATTTATATACTGCCCTATACCCAGAGGTCTCAGGGTGGTTCACAGATCTCAGGGCTGTTACCTCATGTAATAATGTTATGGATCCTTTCAAACCAGAGAATATTTAGAAAACCATGCATAGTGAAATGCTCTTGGTCTTGAAATCGTAACTTTCTTATATAGGGGCCCAGCATTGTGCAACCAACTCAAATTTTAGCACATCTGATGGAGAATGTACTTTCGATATAAAATTCCCTATACATTCAGCTTTTCCTGTCATTCAAGTTTACAATCCTAGTATCTGCCCTTAGAGTTTTCATCTGATACATTCCCATGTCCTGCCCCTGTGCATGTCTGTATATATTAATATAAATAAACACATTTAGGATTGGGAGCGGAGGGGCCAACACAAGGAATGTGCTAATCTTGAAGGTGGTGTCACAAGACCAAAAGGGTATCCCTATGCTAGGCTGTTGCAGCAAAATCAAGGGTCTTGTAGTACCTTAAGATCAGCAAATGTCATAATAAATTTGTTAGTCTTTAAGATGCCACAAAATGCTTTAGTTCCTTTTAGGAGAGTTGTCCAAAATTTAAACTTTTTAGGAGAAAACTCTGTTTCCAAAGTGTCCTTGTCAAGCTATCACCCTCTCTGCACTATTACAACTTCTAATCCGTTGGAGGTTGGTCACTAGGGTAAGGTACAGCAGAGCCCTAACAATATTTTTTGTTTATATATAATTTTTATTAAATTTTCTGTTTTGCAATTTAAAATACTCATTTTACATCTTTAAAATATCAATGACTTCCCTTCTTCTTTCCATGGTTCAATTTACATATCATAAATCCCTACATATTTTACAAAAACTATACCATTATTGCGTCCTTCAAAACTTATTTACTTATTTACACTGTTTACTTTATCTTAATGCTGCAGCTGTAAACAATTATTTCCCCCCATATATTCAATAAACGTTTTCCAATCTTCTTTAAAGGTATGTTCTTCTTGTTCTCTTATTCTTAATGTTAAGTCTGCAAGTTGTGCATATTCTGTCAACTTATGTATATCATTTCCCATAATGCTTTTAGAAACTTACAGGTCCACCACAAAAGGTGCCTTCCTTTTGCTTACACTTCCAGCAGATATTTGCACTTGTCTTATACATTTTTGCAAGCTTACTAGGAGTCAAATACTACCGGTACATCATTTTCATATAATTTTCTTTCAGCATACAACATGCTGAATGTGATGGCCTGGGATTCGGACTCAGAGGCTGAACCTGAGGAATCCCAGCCTGCACAGGAGTCCCCGCCTCCAGAACCAGCTGAGCCGGAGCTGGGGCCTGAGCGTGAAGGGTCCTCACCTGTGCTGGATCCTCAGGTGCAGGCACCAGCTGAGTCTGCTCTGGCCCCTGAGGTGATGGAGGACCCATTGCCTGCAGGTGCTCCACTCTCAGCCCCGTCAGGGGAAGAGGAGGTTGCCTCTGGGCCCGGTAACCCTCCAGCCTCTCCTGAGCTGCAGAGGCTCAGGGCAGAGAGATGGAGGGAACTAAGTTCCTACAGGAGGGGTGCTCGCCTCCAGGCCAGGAGAAGCAAGTCACCTGTGGACCGGGGCTGCCCTATGCCTCGGGGCAGATAAAAGCCAGTCAGCCCCAGTGCCAGGTTGCGGAAGCAATGTTGTTGCTAGCCTGTTCCTGTCGTGCTCTTCTGCCAGAGTTCCTGACCCCACCCAACTCCCCACCTTGGACCCAGCTACAGCTTTGATGGACAGTCTCCATACCACACCATCGACCTCGGACTGGACTCGGACCTCGCCTCTCGGTCAGCCCCCGGGACCAGCACACTGAGAATTTCACCACCGCCCAAGCCTCCCTTACCTGGATTGTGTAGCGGTGCCTGGCAGCAGCAATGGCAGATTCTGGTGAGATCTCACTGAGCTTTTGCAAGATCTTACAGAGCTCATGAGATCTTGTGAGATTTCAGGAAGATCTCACAAGATCTTGCTAGCCTAATACTGCTATTAAACCACCTAGATTTAGTAGGATTATGCATAGGGTTTCCATGTTGGGTTGCAGCTAGCACTGTTGGCAGGGTAAGGCCCTGGCACTTACATGACCTCCCACTACTGACATGGCTGGTGCTGGCAGAGTTGAGTAAGGTTGGCGCAGTGCAAACTGGTGCTCATGCCAGTGTGTTCACATCAATCTCACCTCCTTCCTCCTCTACCTTCTTGTAAGCCACAGTGATGTCAGCGTTGGGAGATATGCTAAGTGCCTCCCCCCACCAAATGCTACTGGTTGTGGGTGGCCTATGATTTTAAAAGATTCCACCTTCTGCCCAAGTAGTTTTCTCAAGCGGCCACTGTAGCTGTGCTTTTAACAGCAGCTCGACATGCAGACATAGGGTGATATTCAATCAAATAATTGCATGAGTGGACCACAATGGGACTTTCCTCCCTCTCTTCCCCCTGTGATCTGCCTAAATCCTTTGTACGGGTTCCCCCAAACCCAGATTCAGGGACAGTGCAGGGTTGGAAGAGAGGAAGGAAAGTCCCATTGCAGAAGTGGAAGTTGCTCTGCTCATGAACTTATTCCACCAAATACTGCCTATAATCCTGATCTCAAAGGTTGTCTCAAAGGTTGATCTCCATGGTCCCTGCCAACTCTTCAACCCTAGCGTAGCTGGGTTCACAAGGGACAAGGAGCAGGTTTAGGAACCATTGCATACATACCATGGCCATTAATGAATATGAGTACCTGGCCCCCACCAACAGGGATATCTGAAAAGGAAAAGATCTCATTCAGAAGTAGCCTTAGATTGCAGTCATATGTACGTTAACCTAGGAATAAGCCCCATTGAACACAGCAGGATCCTGGATAAGGGGAATATGTTGCCACCCAGGGGTGAACAAGTATCACCAGATTACCTAGAGCAGGGGAAGGGAAGCTTTTGAGTTTGGTGGGCCAGATCCATGGGCGTAGCCAGGATTTTTGTTGGGGGGAGGAGGCCTTTTGTGTGGGGGGGGTCAGAACCTGCTTGCTATGTATTTTTATTGATGGGGGCTGCCTCTCCCTGCCCCCCATGGCCAGATTTTTCCCCCCTAGACCCCAGGCCAACTTTGATAGGAGGGTAGGACGAGGCAGAAAAGGGATTTAAGTGGTCTCCCAAGACCAGGGGTCGGCAAACATTTTCAGCAGATGGCTGGTCCACTGTCCCTCAAACCTTGTGGGGGGCTGGACTATATTTTGAAGGGGGGGAGAACGAATTCCCATGCCCCACAAATAACCCAGAGATACATTTTAAATAAAAGCACACATTCTACTCATGTAAAAATACAAGGCAGGCCCTACAAATAACCCAGAGATTCATTTTAAGTAAAAGGACATTCTACTCATGTAAAAACATGCTGATTGGGCGGGATTTAGAAAGCAATTGGGCTGGATCCGGCCCCCAGGCCTTAGTTTACCTACTCATGCCCAATTTTCAAGTGATCCATGGGGGGCGGGGGGAAAAGGATTGGAAACCACTGGCTTAGAGAGTACAGTGGTACCTCGGGTTACAGACGCTTTAGGTTATAGACTCCGCTAACCCAGAAATAGTCCCTCGGGTTAAGAACTTTGCTTCAGGATGAGAACAGAAATTGGGCTCCGGTGGCGCTTCGGCAATGGGAGGCCCCATTAGCTAAAGTGGTGCTTCAGGTGCTTCATATCTGTGGTATGACAAGGTCAAAGCGCATAAAGCATTTAAAACCCATATTGTCAGGAAAGCACTGTTTAATGTTTGGATAAGATACAAGGATTTATTGGAAAACAAAACCCCAAGGTGGCTGTCACCGATGGAAGTGAAAGCTTTGAAAAGGCTCAATATGGAGGCCAATTGGCCGAAATATTGGGAAATCTTGGAACAAGATGGAGATAGACTGAAACTGCAGAGTTTTGAGAAACTAAAAAATAAAGTGCGAGACTGGCTTCATTATTATCAGATAATGGAGGCATATAATTTGGACAAGAAAATTGGCTTCCAGGTGGAAAAATCAAAATTAGAAACAGAACTGTTAGAACCCAAAACTAAGAATTTGTCAAGAATGTATAACTTGCTGTTGAAATGGAATACTCAGGATGAAACGGTGAAATCTGCTATGATTAAATGGGCACAAGATGTTGGACATAATATTATGTTTGCTGACTGGGAACAGTTATGGACCACAGGTATGAAGTTTACGGCATGTAATGTCCTAAGAGAAAATATTATGAAAATGATATACAGGTGGTACATGACCCCAGTCAAGCTTGCAAAAATCTATCATTTGCCCGACAATAAATGTTGGAAATGTAAAGAAACTGAAGGTACATTCTTTCACCTTTGGTGGACGTGCCCAAAGATTAAGGCCTTTTGGGAAATGATATATAATGAACTGAAAAAGGTATTTAAACATACCTTCTTGAAGAAACCAGAGGCCTTTCTCCTGGGCATAGTCGGCCAATTGGTGGCAAAGAAGGACAGAACTTTTTTTATGTATGCCACAACAGCAGCAAGAATACTCATTGCAAAGTATTGGAAGACACAAGATTTACCCACTGTGGAAGAATGGCAGATGAAGCTGATGGACTATATGGAACTGGCAGAAATGACTGGCAGAATCCGAGACCAGGGAGAAGAGTCGGTGGAAGAAGATTGGAAGGAATTCAAAGATTATCTACAGAAATATTGTAAAATTAATGAATGTTAGAATGATGTTGGATAGTAATTAAGTGGTTTCCAGCTGTAATGCTTTAAGGGAATATGAAGAAAGGGTTATAAATAGGTAAAAATTTAATATTATTACTTTTAAAGGATTTGCTGAACCAACAGATTGAAGTGGAATACAAAAAAGGGAGGTATGAGGAGGTCCGGGAAATAAGTCAAAGGAAAATAAGTAATGGAAAATCTGTGTGTTTTTAGCTATTTTTATTTTGTATTTTTGTCACTTCCCCCCCCCCCCCCATTTTTATTGTAATATTTTAAAAAATCTTAATAAATATCTTATTAAAAAAAAAAAAAACTTTGCTTCAGGATGAGAACAGAAATCGCGTGGCAGCGGCACGACGGCAGCGGGAGGCCCCATTAGCTAAAGTGGTGCTTCAGGTTAAGAACAGTTTCAGGTTAAGAATGGACCTCCAGAACAAATTAAGTTCTTAACCCGAGGTACCACTGTATTTTCCCCTCTCCATTTTCTCTATTAGGTTCTCAAAGCCAGTGTGTTCTCTATTTTTATTGTATCCTTGTTCTTTCTTATTCAAGTAGGTTCTTATCTGTAGAAACTGACACTTACTGCTTGTTCATGCCTTTGTATTTGGGATTCTCCACCAGGTATTTAAACCTCATTTTTTCCACTTTAAAAAAATTAGCTAATTTGACCTCATGGTCGAATCTTTCATCTGATAATACAGATGTTACTAGGAATATATCCAGTGCTAATTAGTTTTTAAATTTCTCCCACACTGTTAAACAAGCACTGATAATTTGGTTTGATCCATTATAGCATTTCCCCCCTTCCTTTCTTTGGTACCCACAATTATCTCAAGTCTGTTTTTACTCTTTCCTCTGACCTAAAATAAACATATTTGTATTCAAACCAATGTAGAAATGACTGGTGCATTCATGCTTCAATAGCTGGGACACCCAATCCCTCTTCTTTCCATTCCTTAAAACCTTTTTTCTTTAGTGATTCTGCTTTTCCAGAATCCTAAATAAACTGGTTTATTATCTGCCGTTTCCTCAACATTTGCTCCGGTATATGAATCATTAGATTTTGGAAGAAAAAATTCAAACTGGGAATCACACTCATGATAACAGCATTTATTTTCCCTAGTAAGGATCATTTAAGATTAGTAACAGCAAGAATCCCTGCAGCAGTGTGTCAGATATGTGTTACCGACATCAGAATGCTTGCTTTTTTAAAAAAGCAAACAGACATGGAAATTGAAATAAGGATGGAGCTGAACAAAGTTCTAAAGTGTGAGGAACGGTCCTTTTGTCTACCCTAAGTAACTTCAGCAACACATGAGAACAAGGCCTGTGAGGCTTGAAATAACTACCGTTTCTGAACAATGTCAATTCTGCCAAGTCATGTTTTAGTGAGAAAGGCAAAAAAGCAAAAAGCAACGCTTTTTTCATCGGGATTGAAGGCAACGTTGCAATTTAAACACCAATAAAACGACCTGCAGTTCACCAGATTCACTGGAGAAAAATAAATGCAAAAATTTAGACAGATCACGCTTTTACTCATGGAAGAGATCAAAGCCCCACCCTCTTGAATTTCCGCTCGTCACACACCTGTTAAAAGAAGCAGGATCCCTGCAAAGCAAAATAAACCTTTTATCCCCAAGGAATAGCAAGCCGAATTTGCAACAGCGACTTGGCAGGGCTTGCCAGGCGTCCGGGGAAACAAGCAAAAAAGAAATGTATTATTTGCTAGCGCGCGATTCAAAGTGGGCGCATCTCCGGACAATCCCACCCCCTCGCCCCTTGCAAACAGTAGCGGGGGGAAAAGATCACTTTCCCCGGTTGCTGGATTGCGACGTCGGAGAATAATGCAGCTGGTTCGCGTTGCTAAAGGCTCGCCTTTGCACCACCGCTTGCAAACGCCCGTCCATTTGCAAGGGTTCCAGTCTCGGCGAAAGCCCCGCGTGCATTTTTTGCAAGCAACCCCGACCCAGCGAGATCAGGCGACCTGAGGATTGTACTAAACCCCGGGGAGGGGGGCGCGACCACGCCTATCTCCCACTCGCGGCTGGTTTGCGCACCTTGGGGAGCTGGGGGGTGGGGTGGGGGTGGGGAAAGAGGGCGGGAGCGTACCATTGCTGCAAGTCGGGGGGAAGCGCCTTTCTCCGGGCTCGCCTCTTGCCCCAGCTCCTTCCTCCCCCCCTCCTCCTGCCTTGCAGTGAGTCCGCCCGGTGGCGATATATATAGAGCGGTGGGCGGGAGGCAGGCGTGTGTGTGTGTTTTTTTCGGGGCGCACGGTTTCTTGCAGGTTTGGGCGCAGTTCGGCCGGGCAGGTTTGCAGGATCGAGACAATGGCGTGGCAGCCCATGGAGATCAACCCGGAGGTGAAGGGGAAATCTAGGGCTAGATGGGGGGCGGGGGGAGAAGCATGCATGCATAATGGGGAGTGGGGTGGGGGTCCTCCGCCCCAAGGCGTGCCCTATACAGTGGTACCTCGGGTTAAGTATTCAATTCGTTCCGGAGGTCTGTTCTTAACCTGAAACTGTTCTTAACCTGAAGCATCACTTTAGCTAATGGGGCCTCCTGCTGCCGCTGCTGCACGATTTCTGTTCTCATCTCGAAGCAAAGTTCTTAACCCGAGGTACTATTTCTGGGTTAGCGGAGTCTGTAATCTGAAGCGTCCGTAACCCGAGGTACCACTGTACATGGCTGGCTTCTCCAGGCGCATGCAGTTTCTTACCCATGGGCGTTTTTGAGATGCCCTAGAGGGGAGGGATAAAGGCGGCCAGCAGTCTGTCTGTCATTAAAAAATAAAATCGGAATGGAAGCGTGGGCAAAGGATCCTCTTTTCCTTCTCCACCCTCTCCCCCGGGATTCCCCAAATGCAGACATCGACGGCGCCCAGGTCTCCCTTCTCTTCGCCGATTCCGCGATCCAGACACAAGATGGGAGGCGGGCCCCGCCCAGAGACAGGCTAACCTCCCTTTCCTTCATCTTTCTCCCGCTTTTGTCTTTCAGATGCTGAACAAAGTGAGTGGCCGCGGAGAACTGGGGAGGAATAAGGCGCATCTCCTCTTGGCTGGGCGTTTCCTTAAGTCTCCGTTTCAATTCATTCATTCATTCAGTTAACTCATCGGGAGGCTTGAACGCCTGGAACCCTAGAGCATAGATTAGATACATAACTCTCATCCTGGATCCTTACTGATGTTGCTCGTGGGCATATTTAGGCCAACGGGAAGGGGAAACAGGTTAGGGGGCTGGGGGCTCCCACATCGAGTCATGATGGGCAGGTTGTTCGTGGAATGGGCGGCAGGTGGCGCTGCAGCCCCGCGTTTTGTGCTGTGTCACGGCTGGGCAAGGGGCCCTTAGGAAGAGAGTCGGGAGGGGAGACCCCCCCCTGCCTCTGAGACCCTTCTTCTCCCCACTTCCCTGCAGGCTTTGAGCCTGATTCCATTATAAGCCATGCAGAAGGTCCTAGGGGCATCTCTGAATCTGGAGGATTTATTCGGAGACCTCGTCTTGCCACGTGGGTGCTATTCCTGGATCCTATTTAGTATTCCTCTGGAATGGGGAAGCTTTGGTGGTTTACGTAAATGTTGTTGTACCAAAAAGTCAGCTTTTCATTTGCTATCAGTAACCAGCCTTCCAGGTCTTTAGGAAACGTCTGAAGCCCTCTGCGTATGCTCAAGCGCTCCACGTCGTCAGGGATGCAGCAACATCTATTGTAGAATAGAAGTCGAGATGCGGAAACTGGATTTTGGGGCTGAGCCATAGATGCCTCTAATGCAGTGGTTCCCAACCTTTTTTTGGCCATGCCCCACCTAAGCATCTCTAAAATCCCGACTCACTCCCTGACTAATAATAATAATAATTAATAATTTATTATACCCCACCTATCTGGCTGAGTTTCCCCAGCCACTCTGGGCGGCTCCCAATCAAGTGTTATAAACAATTCAGCATTAAATATTAAAAACTTCCCTAAACAGGGCTGCCTTCAGATGTCTTTTGAAGATAGGATAGCTGCTTATTTCCTTCGCATCTGAAGGGAGGGTGTTCCACAGGGTGGGCGCCACTACCGAGAAGGCCCTCTGTCTGGTTCCCTGTAACCTCACTTCAAAAAGGGAACTCCTATTCACGTGGAGGAAGCCTAAAGAGCCATTCACTGTTAATAACTCATTCTCGAATTGTCCCCCCCAAAAAATTGCCCCCCTGTGGGGAACCATAGCTCTAATGTCTCCTCCCCTCTCCAGATACAACAACAGTCTTGGTTAATATGCGCTGACTTCCCTCCTTGGCATACCTAAAGGGATGATTACTCGGGGTGGGGGGAGCTTTCCACTACTGACAAAATGCACCTTTTAATAGTAGGCGTAACTAACGTACCTTTAAGGAGATGATGGGTGGCAGCCCCTATCCCTAGCCAATGGGTTTTTGGATGATAGGAGCTGGAGTCCAGAAGTATCCTCAGGGTACCAGGACTAACCTGAGTGTACAGGGGAATGGTTTTTTCTACTCCAGATTCATGATGTAGGGTGCTAGGGTGTCAAGTTGAGGTTGATTCTATCCCTGGTTTTGTACCTCCCCTTAACCCGGCAGGTGCTGTCCCGCCTCGGAGTTGCCCCTGGCTGGAGGTTTGTGGATGTGCTGGGGTTTGAGGAGGATGCCTTGAATGTTGTACCCACCCCAGCTTGCGCTCTGCTGTTACTCTTTCCCCTTACTGCTCAGGTGAGTAATGGAAGTTGAGCAAGGGCAGGGAGGTGAAACCTGCTGCTTGGCAGGCAAAGAACTCTGGAAAATCTCTCTGCTTTCTATATTACGCTGTTGGCGTGCAAAGGATGGTAATAATCCTAAACTGCGATAGTGAACGAGCAGGGTTAATGTCTTGAATTGGGATGCTGAGCCCAGAACCAGGCCTTGCTGGCCAGGAAAAGTCTGCTGTTTTGCCATGTCCTGTAGGATTCCTGCAGCCAATAGGCTTAGGATCCAGCAGATTCACAGCTATCCCAACTCAGCCCCCTGAAATGTCCCGTTTTGGGAAGTGACTGCTAGCACTAGTGTCTGCTTTCAGGCACAAGCGGCACTTAGCTCATGCTTTCAGTGCAGCAGATCAAGGTTTGGGTCGCTCTGCCTGCTTCCCAAAGCTCTTATACAAACGTGGTCTAGGACTGTTGATCTGTCTCCTCCTCTACCGACCTGCAAATCGTGAACCCTCATTGCAATTTAAATAACTGTGGATACCTATGCAGCGGCTGCCACTATGAATCGGCAGCTTTCTAACGTGAAGGTTTGAGGCCTCCGAGAACAAGGAGCAGTCATTAAAATTAGATTTCTTGTGATGTTTCTGGATTGGCTGTGGCCATCTCTAGAAACGCAGCGTTGCTGACGATGACTTCATCTTGGTAGGAAAAACTAGAACAGGTGAGTTTGTAATGAAAGAGCTTCTCTTAAGTAAAGAATTCTGAGGGTCAGATGAAAAAAGCATCGTCATTCTCGAAGAGAATGATTATGGGAAGGACTAAAAGTCCATTGAGGAATCTACCTTTCCAGCAACAGCTGCATCTAGAATCCTGCGCTGTGGGATTCTTACTACTGATGGGATTCTTAAAGGGCCGGCTTTGGATATTTGTACAGTGGTACCTCGGGTTACATACGCTCCAGGTTACAGACTCTGCTAACCCAAATATAGTGCTTCAGGTTAAGAACTTTGCTTCAGGATAAGAACAGAAATCGTGCTCTGGCAGCGTGGCGGCAGCAGGAGGCCCCATTAGCTAAAGTGGTGCTTCAGGTTAAGAATAGTTTCAGGTTAAGAACGGACCTCTGGAACGAATTAAGTACTTAACCTGAGGTACTACTGTATCTACTTTGTTCTCTGCATGTCTGTTTTGAGTTTTTATTCCCTTGTTCTTCTGGTTATTGTGCACCTCTTGAGGGTTTTTTCTTCTCTGTTGTAAAATGGTCTTATGTTGGAAGGTGAAGGTATTTGATATAGAATCATGGAATCTTAAAGAGTTGGAAGGGACCCCAAGGGTCATCCAGTCCAACCCCCTGCAATGCAGGAATCTCAGCTCAAGCATCCATGACAGATGGCCATCCAACCTCTGCTTAAAAACCTCCAAGGAAGGAGAGTCCACCACCTCTGGTAGGAGCCTATTCCACTGCTGAACAGCTCTTACTGTCAGAATCTCCTTTCTTGCAACTTGAAGCCATTGGTTCGAGTCCCACACTCCTGTTTTGTAGCTATTTTGAGCAGCGTATTTCAAGCAGAGTCTACGTGTAAGGAATGCATGCCAATGTATGTACAGGGAATGCACATGGATGGGCAGGGTATCAGAATTAAGGTATTCAACAGCAGTTTGAAGGCTGAAACATGAAATGTATCTCATTCAAGAGACCCAGAGTTATACCCAGAAAAATTGGACACTGCTCTTTCAATCTACCCTGGCTGGTGATCTATGGAGATTTACTTGAAGCAGCTTCATATTTAGGAAGTGACGCCATGATAGTTGGAAATCTTTGCCTGTGGGCTGTAAACAGGGCTCATGAATACATTTATGAAGCTGCATTGCACTAGAAGTCTTTACGGGAATTAATGATTAAGAGTTAGAACTGCATGTACGTAATGACTTGGCCAAGTTACGTTGCCAGCGGTAGCTCATTTGAAGCATGCTTCAGTCGCTTTCCCTGAACTTGTTCCATTGGATTGTATGAGGTTTCTGTGGTAGGTATTGGCCACAAACCATTTGTAATACGCTAGATAGCATGCATCACTTGCTAAATGCTTGAGATTTTGAAGCAGCCTCACTTTGGGCTCTTGGCTGACTTGTGATTATTATTATTTTAATTGTTAAAGCACGCTGTGGCTTCTCATCCTCCCAGCATGCATTTATAAAAACAAGGGCAAGCAAAACATCTGATTGCTAAAAGTTTATCATTATTATTTAATTTGTTAGAAAGTTCCTGAGTTATGTCCGCATCTCTAACAATTGCTTGACACATTTGTATACATTTTCAAAAGTTTCCTTGGTGTTAGGTACCATCGGTGTTTCATTTTTTGGAAGTTCTCTCTAATCGTATAACAATTTGTGAATTTCCAATTGATCTTCCATAAGTTTTCCCATTGGGCCATGGTTATTGAATGGCCAAAATCCTGGGACCGCCTCACCATTGCCACTGTTAACTCGTCCTCCTTGACTGTCCAGTCAAGGAGGAGTCGATAAGTTTTGGAAAGAGTTTTTCTTTTAGAATTTACAAGATCGGGAAATTTCTGTTGAGAAACCCCTGCTGAAAGTTTATTATCATTGGTCAAGAAATGCTTTGAGCCCTTAAGAATTTGGGAACAGTTTACCTGCAAGATCACCTGGCCCCATAAAATGTCCATTCAACATCTTTAATCTCTGGAAGTGGCACTGTTAATAGATGCAACATAATACATTTGGTCTTTCAGTGTGGCAGCAACCGCAATTTGAAGCTCCCTGCCTAATGATATTAGGCAGGTGCCTTCCCTGCAATCTATTTCATCACCTACTAAAAACATCTTTCTTTAGACAAGCCTGCCCAGTTATGTAGACCGATTACATGTGTTTTAATTGTTTTTAGCTTGTTGCTAAAATATTTGAATGCTTTAGTTGTTTTTAACTGTTTTTATAATGGTACCTTGGTTATCAAACTTAATCCATTCCAGAAGTCCATTCCGAAACCAAAGCGTTGCAAAACCAAGGCATGCTTACCCATAGAAAGTAATGCAAAACGGATTAATCTGTTCCAAAGAACCCCCAAACAGCAATTTAACATGAATTATCTTAATGAGACCATTGATCCCTAAAATGAAAGCAATAATCAATGTGTACTGTACTATAAAATAAATAAGACAGCATAGTAGATGATAAAAATTGAAACAAAATTCTTACCTGCACTGATGATAGTCATTGTTTGCATGGGGGGCTTTTATCCATTTCCGCAGTCACACAATCAGTAGCTCAGCTGGGTTCCACGCAGTCACAAGAGCAAATTAACCAAAAAAGGCCACAAAAAAGCAAAATAAATAGCAAAAACAAAAGCGCCAAACTTAATGTGTTCTGGAAGTCAATGTTCGAAAAGCAAGGTGTAGCTTCTGATTGGTTCAGGCGCCCTGGAAACAATAGCCAGCAGCCACATCGGCTTCTGAAAAAGGTTTGATAACTGGAACACTTCCAGGTTTTCAGCATTTGGGAACCAAGGCGTTTGGGAACCAAGGTACCACTGTACTTGCCTTGAGAGTTGTTGTTTTTTTAAAACCACAAGCAGTATATAAATTGTATGGAAAAAAATAAAATGTTACCTGACCAATACACCTGCACCTTTGTAGCATGAGAATTTCAGAAAAAAGCAGATGGAAGAATTGAAGGGCCAAGAAGTGAGCTCCAAAGTCTATTTTGTGAAGCAGACGGCCAGTAATTCCTGTGGAACAATTGGCCTTCTACATGCAGTGGCCAACAACCAAGATAAAATTTTATTTGGTAAGTATGGGGGAAGCGTCACCCAAGGGAGACAAACCCATTGGTAGGAGATGGTATTGGCTCTAACCTGTGCAACTGCTGACTTAGGCAGGGTGGAAGTTGATTCACTGGACAACCTAAGGCTTGCACTTGCAGTTGGTTCATCGTCTTGTGTTCTGCCGCCATCCCCCTGATTTTTATTTCTTGGCAGATGAAGGGTCTGCACTAAAGGAGTTCCTCACTGCAACAGCTGACCTCTCTCCTGATGAGAGGGCAAAACGTCTTGAAAACAACAAGGTAAATGACATGGGAACTTGGGTGGAAGCTTCTTAATGGCGCCTTTTTTATTAAAAAAATGCCTTTTTTTTTTTTTTTTACCATCCTCTGCAGGCCATTCAAGAAGCCCACAATGCAGTAGCGCAGGAAGGACAATGTCGGGTAAATTTCTTAAACTTAAATAGGCTTCCAAAGGTAAAACGTTGGTGCCAAGAACTGGCGGCGGGTAGTTGGGTGTAATAGTACGGGCCCCATGTAATGTAAACTCTTCTCTCCTTACCTCAAATGGTGAAGATGGATGGGATATGTGGGCCAGTGGAGCCATTAGGGCAAAACTGCTTTCTGGCACAGGCCAAGCTCAGAGAGATGCTTTTAACACTCCACGCATCGTGGAATTATTGAAGCGGAAGCCAGCTGTACATAGTATTTTGGCTTTCCCTCCCCGGTATTTTCACAGAAATCTCCGTCTCCACCCAGCGCTTTGTTGTTGTTTAGTCGTTTAGTTGTGTCCGACTCTTTGTGACCCCATGGACCAGAGCACGCCAGGCACTCCTGTCTTCCACTGCCTCCCGCAGTTTGGTCAAACTCATGCTGGCAGCTTCGAGAACACTATCCACCCATCTTGTCCTCTGCTGTCCCCTTCTCCTTGTGCCCTCCATCTTTCCTAGCATCAGGGTCTTTTCCAGGGCGTCTTCTTTTCTCATGAGGTGGCCAAAGTATTGGAGTCTCAGCTTCAGGATCTGTCCTTCCAGTGAGCACTCAGGGCTGATTTCCTTCAGAATGGATAGGTTTGATCTTCTTGCAGTCCGTGGGACTCTCAAGAGTCTCCTCCAGCACCATAATCCAAAAGCATCAATTCTTCGGCTATCAGCCTTCTTTATGGTCCAGCTCTCACTTCCATACATCACTACTGGGGAAACCATAGTCCCTTTAAATAGCTTGGCTTCTAAAATAGGTGGTCTTACCAAAAAGACTGACTGCATAGGCAAAGCTTGCTGGTGGTGTCCATCTAAACCTCAGTTCTTGGAGGAGATTATGCCACAGCGGCCAGCATTTTTCAAGATGTGTGTTAGAGAACTTGCAGGTGGTTCCCACATCTGTGTCATTAAATGGGCCATTTGGGTAAATTGCTTAGTGGGGCTTCTGGTGCCTGAAACCCTCAGGCTACTTAACGTGTTCTCCATTATGGACATTATTTAACAATAACAACAATAATATTTCATTGCTATGCTTCCTGTGAGATACCTTCCTACACATGTTTTTAGAACACGGAAAAACTTCAGTAATTCTGCAGTATACAAATAGCCAAAATAAAATCTCTGGCTGTCCTCTTCCTGGTAGCAAAACCAGCAATAGAAAAATAGTCTACGACTCCTACTTAGACACTGGCCAGCAAGTCTGGGATTCTGTAATCCTGAAGAAATCCTATGGTTTGTCAGCCCAATGACCCCTTTTTTACTGTGCAGCGCCAGATGACAAGGCAGTAGCGATCTATTTGTATATATTTGGAACATAAGGAAGGGGGTGGTGGTTGTTAGAGAGGTTATTTATGAGAACCAAAAAGGGCAGAATCAGGAAGCAGAGTGTCACTAAAATATTCTTCTTTGTTGATCATCCTATGCACCCTCCTCCTCCATAGGTTGAAGATGACAAAGTCAACTTCCATTTCATTCTGTTTGCCAGTGTGGATGGACACCTCTATGAACTGGGTAGGTTTGTGTGCTGCCTCCCCCAGTATAACACAGAGTAAAACAAATTGGGATTCTCTTGGGTCAGGGTGGGGAGGAGAGTTGAATTGGGGTGGCCAGCTTCTGCCCACATTATCTAGAAACAGCCTGTGGCTTACCTAGGAGAAGAGCATAACGTCGGCAAGGATTCCCATTGGAATTCAGGGGTTGGCTTGTCTGAAGCGGTTTGTTGCATTCCCCCCAAACATGTCCCACCGCTTTCACCGGCGCAACTGATCTTTTTCGAGAGCAAAGTTGCATTATCAAGAATTTCCAGAAGGCAGTGATGGGTAGGGTGAGAATCTAATACTAAACCTTATATTGGGCCTTTTGCCAACCTGGCCCATTGCAGTAGTTGTTGGGACCCAGCTCCAGCATGGCCAGTGGTTAGAATCCAGAACGTCCTGAGGGTGGCAGGTTGGGAGGGGCAGAGAGACTGTATATAAATTGTTGCAGTAAATCTGTTCTGCTTCTGAAACATCTGGAGCCACTTGAGTTGCAAGCAGAAAACCAGGGGATGAGATCCAGCATTGCAACTCTACTGAAAAGTAGGTCCAGAAGCAAATAAATGCAGCCCCACAAGGGCATGGCCTAAGTTTCTTCTTCCTATACTAGCAATGGTCTGGTCGGCTGTTCGAATCCCTGCGACGGGGTGACCTCCCGTTGCTCGGTCCCTGCTCCTGCCCACCTAGCAGTTCAAAAGCACATCAGCATGCATGTAGATAAACAGGTTCCGCTCCAGCAGGAAGGTAAACAGCGTTTCCGTGCGCTGCTCTGGTTTGCCAGAAGCGGCTTAGTCATGCTGGCCACATGACCCAGAAGCTCCCTCGGACAGTAAAGGGAGATAAGTGCTGCAACCACAGAGTCGTCCGTGATGACCTAACGGTCAGGGGTCCCTGTCCCTTTACCTTTAGCATACTTTAAGTAAGTGGTTAAGTCATAAACCTGATCTAAAACTTGGTTGCAGATGGACGAATGCCTTTTCCTGTAAATCATGGAGCGAGTTCGGATGACACCATGCTGAAGGTAAGCGTTCTTATAATTGAAATTTCTGACATAATCAAGTCTTTTAGATTGCACTGCACGTGTGTCGTTCCTTACTTGGCAGATCCCAGATTTTTCTTTGTGTATTTCTCATTCTGTAACCACATGGGGATGAGCAAGACACAGTGCCTAGAGATGGGCGCTCTCAAGAGGAGCCGGCGAGATGGCTTCTGCTATTCCCAGCATCCTATCAGAATGCTGTTTATAGCAACTCCTTGCTCACAACTTCAGTGGGGAGAAGTATAGATGCTGATTGTCTACATAATGTCTGGCTAAAACTACAGTGTGAGCCCACACTGTTCATGGATGTGGTCGACTTGATGCCAGGTCTACTGAGGCTCTGCGTTCATGCATTTAGAACAGTAGGATAACTACCTGTGTTTTTTGTTTTTCAGGCTGCTGCCAAGGTCTGTCGACAGTTCACAGAACGTGAGCAAGGAGAGGTCCGCTTTTCTGCTGTGGCGCTGAGCAAGTCTGCCTGAAGTTCAGGAGTTAGAGCGACCCCATAGTAGGCCCTCACAGAAAGCAGTCCAGGCCCCTAGTGCTTTAGTACTTGTGTTTAAAAAACAAAAGCACTGCTGTTCTTGATCTTCCGTTTAAAGTGTCCTGCTGCTCCTAGCCTCGTTCCTCCCCCCTCACTTGCTCACAGCAGCTTCAGCAGAGCTGGTCTTAAAAGTTTAGCTCCAAGTCTTTGGCACTTCAGATATGTTGGGTCCCTTCTTGACTGCAACTTGTTTAAACGCTTCATAGGGCTTCCTTGGACGTGTGCCTCCAAAGTTTCTTTTTAAGCTGTTGTGACTTCTTGTCAATCACAAAAATAAATTTCTTCTTGGTATTCCAAAGCAGAAGGTTTTGTTTTTGTTTGTTTGCACGGCCATCTTTGTCTCCGGTGTTGGAAGGTGATCTACTTATAAAGCTAGATATTAGCTAGAGGTGTCTTCGTGCTGTCACTGTTTTACTGGTGGGATTCAAGCACATTCCAAAACTAAGTTTGCACAGTTAATGTGGATTAAAGTTCTCCCTAGTCCTAGCATGAACAAGCCTGCTTTAATAATAATAATAAAAAGCCTCCAGGTTAGGAAAGTGATTGGGAAATGCACTGGAGTGCAGGATGAACACATGCCTAATGGGAAGACACATAATGGTCCTGCCAGCAAATCGGGATGCATGCTCATTGTTTTAGAGCCACCCTTTAAACAAACAAGAACAGAGGCCCAATGAAGGGCAGGCATAGTCTAAACACCCGGTAGGCTTTGTGAATGCCAAATGGGAGGGGTCTTAGATGCTGCTTCTACTTTGCAAAGTGAGTTGGGCTGTGTTGGCTTTCTAGTCCTTGTAATTTGGGCAGAATTCCTGTTTCTGGCCATGGCAGGGTGGAAGTCTCCAGCCACAGAAGACTCCGTTCTTGCCACAGGGAGAATAGTTGCCCAGGAAGCTGCTGAAAATGCTCTACTGCCATTACCTAGCTGCCTATCAGAAACGTCTGGGGAAACCTAGCCAGATGGCTGGGGTATAAATAATAAAATTATTGCTGCTGCTGCTGCTGCTGCTACTCGAAGATACATTGGCTCCTTGCTTGTACCTTTGCTACGCCCTGGGGGGGGGAAAGAGATAAGAATGGATTGTTTCTTGCTCTTTGTGTAAGTGAACTGGCCTCATAGGAGCTAGGTAGCTGCCTATACCACAGAAGGGAAGAGGGGAATGTTTTTTGCATGGGCAGCAAAATAACATAAGCCTATGGCCACATGAAAGACTCCCTAGGCCATAAAGGGACACTGGTGCGGTCTCTGCTAAATGACAACGCTGCTGGGAAGCTGTTGCTAGGTAGACTGCCAACAGGTGTCAAGGTGACCTATTGCACTGAATTGTATCATAGGCTCCTTTGCTACCAGGCAACAGGCTGGTGCATGGAAGGAACCAGCGTGTGTCGTCATTGAGGAGGAAAAGCTACAAAAACAAAAAGGAAATGCCATCTGTACTTAGCAGAACAGACAGTACAAAGAAGAGCGAAGACAGCCAACTAAATACCAAGCAGCTGCCAACAAAAAAAACCACACAATATAAACGAATGCTTTTAACAGTTTTTAGAACTAGCTGTTTCTTGCTCCCTGTTTCCTGGGACAAAATTGGAACCTATGGTAGGTTTCAGTTCCAGATCTGAATTTGTAAGAAACTTCACAATAACAAAACACTTTGAATACCAGGAAACTGCTGTAGCCGGCTAGTTCCTGAATTTTGAAAAAATGCGGAACAAAATGAATTGGCTCAATAGGAAAGTTGTCGCTTGTAAGGGGCAGGAGTTTCTCATCCCTGTGAATTTTGCTATAAACTGATACGCAAATCCAAATTTATTTGCACTCGTAAGCAGCAAATTGAAAGCTGGGGATTTTGTGGCTATCCAACAGTGTTAACTTTCCCCAGTCTCAGCTAATGGGGAGTCATATACTCTTACGGAGCAAAGGTGTTGCCGTGGCAAAATCTGTCTTCCAGTGAGAGGAGTAGGAGGAATGGAAAGGTGGGTCATGTGTTCTGTAAACATGAGCTGAGATGGGTCACACAACCTTCCATAGGTATTTCAACAATATATAGGCCTCTCTATATGCCTTTCTGAGGAAGGTCACATTTACTACCAAGCGATGCTGAGGATTGCTTACCAGAGGTCAGCAAACGTTTTCAGCAGGGGGCTGGTCTACTGTGCCTCAGACCTTGTGGGGGGCCGGACTATATTTTGAAGAAGGAAAAAAGAATGAATTCCTATGCCCCACAAATAACCCAGAGATGCATTTTAAATAAAAGCCAGTGTGGTGTAGTGGTTAAGAGCAGTAGACTCATAATCTGGTGAACCGGGTTCGCTTCCCCACTCCTCCACATGCAGCTGCTGGGTGACCTTGGGCTAGTCACACTTCTCTGAAGTCTCTCAGCCCCACTCACCTCACAGAGTGTTTGTTGTGGGGGAGGAAGGGAAAAGAGAATGTTAGGCGCTTTGAGACTCCTTCGGGTAGTGATAAAGCAGGATATCAAATCCAAACTCCTCCTCCACACATTCTACTCATGTAAAAACACACTGATTCCCGGATCATCCGCAGGCCAGATTTAGAAGGCAATTGGGCTGGATCTGGCCCCCGGGCCTTAGTTTGCCTACCCATGTCTTAGGCCGGATCCGGCCTAATCGCCTTCTAAATCCGGCCAGCAGATGGTTTGGAAATCAGCGTATTTTTACATGAGTAGAATGTGTGTTTTTATTTAAAATGCATCTCTGGGTTATTTGTGGGGCATAGGAATTCATTCATTTCCCCCCTCAAAATATAGTCCGGCCCACCACATGGTCTGAGGTACAGTGGACTGGCCCCCTGCTGAAAAAGTTTGCTGACCCCTGTCTTAGGCATTTGAGCTCTGTTCTTGCAAGTACTTTTATGTACACAGCAGTAAAACCTTCAAAACCCCTATTGAAATCAATCAAGATAATTTGCTTGCTTCCACTGACATTGGACTAGGGCAACAGGTATCTGCTTCCTCTTACAGAAGGTGTGCATAAAGTTGGACTGTTGCAAATGCACTTGGATGCTAACAAACTCGGTGACTGTTAGTGCTATGCTTTGTTCTCTAGATGGCAGACTTGGGATACTGTTAAGATACTCAAGCATTGAAAAAAACGCAAATGGTATTTTCTTTTTGAGATAAATGCTCTGGAAATACAAGCACATAGCCTGAACTTCCAGTTTTAAGCTGAAAACCATCATTGACCGAAGTCTCCAATATAATATGTTGTCTGTTCCTGGCATCTCTCTGGGCAAAGCATTCTGTTTTGCATTGAATGGCAAAAACTTAAATTCAGTTTCTAAAAATGCCAATAAAGGACTACGGTGGGTCTGTCCCCTCTTGTAGTGATCAGACATCTCTCTAGGAAATCAACTGAATTTTACTCAAGAGTAGGCCCATTGAAATTAATGGTCCCAACTTAACCATGTTCATTAATTTCAGTGTGTCTTCTGTGAGTAAAACTTAGTTGAATAGCACCTTTTGTTACAGGCAACCGAGACTTAATTTCCTTTGGAAACCGCTTCAGTCTTGAATAAAACCACATTTTCCCTGAATCAAAACAGAGTATTGTACTGCTGGGGAAATTTAGGAACTGTCTAATTTTACAGCAGACATGAAGGAGGGGCTTCTCTTCTGGTGGGGAAAGGCATGAGGCATATGTGTATGTTTGCTAACCCATAGTTTTGTGCAAGTTTGGTATATCAGAGAATGTGTCTCTTAAAAATTAAATTATTTATTTTTGTGTGTGTGCAGGTCAACAAATACCTGTGTGCATCCCCACAATGGAACTCAGGTTTCCAGAACTCAGGGAGGGTGGAGAATCATAGAATTATAGAATTGCAGAGTTGGAAGGGACCACGAAGGTCCTTGAGTCCCACCCCCTGCAATGTAGGAATCTTCTGTTCAAGATTGGGCTCGAACCCATGACCCTTAAATTAGGATTCTCCATGTACGAACTGAAGGCAGAGGCCATCCACACAGTGCAAATACATCCCATCAAGCACTGCCTACTAGTGTGGACAGGAAACATTGAGACAGAGTTCAGCTGAAATAACAACAACAACAACAACAATAATAAATTTATTATTTATACCCCGCCCATCTGGCTGGGTTTCCACAGCCACTCTAGGTGGCTTCTAACAAAATATTAAAATACAATGGTCTGTTAAACATTAAAAGCTTCCTTGAACAGGGCTGCCTTCAGATGTCTTCTAAAAGACTGATAGTTGTTTTTCTCTTTGGCATCTGATGGGAGGGTGTTCCACAGGGCAGGTGCCACTACCGAGAAGACCCTCTGCCTGGTTCCCTGTAACTTGGCTTCTCGCAGCGAGGGAACTGCCAGAAGTCCCTCAGCGTTGGACCTCAGTGTCCGGGCAGAACGATGGGGGTGGAGACACTCCTTCAGGTATACTGGACTGAGGCTTGTGTGTGAAGAAGTATGTACAAAAGCGCACACACAAAAATTAGACCTGTGCAACTCACATGTGCATGAACACCCTGGTGCGTCCCCAGCCAATATAAATGAATCTGCCAGCAAATCCTGGTGTAGTTATATGACTTTAAATGTTTAAGATTCTTTTTCTTTGTAGGCCAAAGGATGAATGCATAGCCATACGAACACCTGTGTGTTCCTTTCCATTTTTTCTTTTTAAGGTGAACAGCCTACCTGCTTCCAAGAAAAGGAGGAAGGCTGGTGGCTGATAACTGCCTCTGGCTATGCATCTTTGCTATGGAAAGTGTGGCAATGAATGAGCTGGGATTGCATCACAGAGAAAGAACTTACTGTTACGACCTTTTAAATTGGGCATCTCTCTTCATTCCTGCTTCCCCCCTGTTTTAGCAGCTCTTAACAGCGAAGGACCAGGGCGTGTAGAAATACGTAACAAAAAATTAAGCAAAAGGTGAACTATTAAGGCTGGTATCATATCATTTCATATATTTTGAAGTGTTTTTAATATTGCCCTGGGGCCTTATGGTGAATAGTGGGTAAGAAATCAAATTATTATTATTAATAATAATACTATATGCACTACAGTGGTACCTTGGGTTACAGACGCTTCAGGTTACAGACTCCGCTAACCCAGAAATAGTACCTCAGGTTAAGAACTTTACCTCAGGATGAGAATAGAAATTGCAGCGGAAGGCCCCATTAGCTAAAGTGGTGCTTCAGGTTAAGAACAGTTTCAGGTTAAGAACGGACCTCCAGAACGAATTATGTTCTTAACCCGAGGTACCACTGTATTGGGAATGAGCCCTACTGAATTTGGTAGGACTTCGTAAGCATGCATAGGATCGGACTACACATAAA